ATTTAAATACAGTTCGATAATTGACATTTGAATGCAAGGGCATACAGTTTTTTATTTGTTTTCTCATTTATTTTCAAACCACCTCGGAGAATGGTTATTGTTTATAAGTTTCACTCTCTAAAAATATTAATGATCAGAAGCTACTGCCTAAGGACGGGAACAAAGTGTTTCATTAATTTTCTGCGTTGTAAAATTGCTTTGCTCATTAATACAGCACAATGAACCGATTTAAAGACTAATTTTATCTGTACTTCATAATATTTTGCAACAAGCGTTTTTATACCGTCAGAGGCATAAGCAAAATATGTTTTTAACAACACATATATAAATTTCTACGTAAATCCATATCTATTATGGTCAACTTTAAAATTAAAATCTAATGGATAAAGTAATGTAGTAACATATACTAGATACTAGTTATCTGGTTTTTCACTTTATTTTATACGAACGGTAAACCTCAACGATAATATGCTCTTTAATATTTTGGTATTTTTCTGTTTGTATCATTCTGCGTTCTAAAATAAAAAAGATGCAGAAACAAACGCTGAAGCGTTAAAAAGTCACATTCCTCTTTTAAAACTAAACTATAATCGTATTTAACAGCAAAGATTTAATTTGACGAATGGCAACAGTAGATATTATTTTATTTCTTTAATGATAAAATCCTTTTTGAGGTGCGAAATTGTAACCTGAAATATTAAGATTACAAGCTGTCCCCTCCTTCCAAGCCGTCTGAGAAACTTCAATGTTAAATGAAATTGGCGGAATATTAATAATTAAAAACTATTCTCTGTGTAATATTTTATACGTATAGTATACAATATATAATATTTGTAACGTTAGAAACGTATTTTATGAATTAAATAATGCATTTAAAATATCAGTAAGATATATTATTAAAAATGAAATAAAGCTTTAAGGTTTAAGAAATGCATTTATTGCTTCTAAATTACCCAATCTGTTAATTACAGATTGATTAAATTTCAAGAGTAAAGGTATTACGCTTTTTCTAATGGCAGCACGGTATGTATTTGGGAGGTCGCGTGGCAGATATTTTAAAGATTTTATTTTTAGCCCACTGCCATTATTAGCTGCATCATATCTTCGAAATGCTAAAATTCTACTTTCGAAGATTTTAAGAAACAGTCCGTTAAGAAAATTTCTAACATAATAGTATAATAGTTAGATAAATTGATATTTCATGTACGTATAATTTCGAATAGGTTAGTTTTCGGGGATATTCATGGTTTTATTCATTGTAAAACACTGAAAAATCAAAATATTCTTTTCCGATAAAATAGTTCTTTTCAAATAATATAGTAATAATTTTCATTTAATTTCGTAAGTCATACGAATTCTACTACTTCTCTTTTTTATACCTGAATTATTTCCTAATATAAGAATTTATAAAAGTACAAATTATTACGCACATTAACATTTCTTGTTAAGAAAATTACATGTAACTTTAATTCTATTACGTTTGCAATAAGAAATAAAAAATTCTGTTTTTAATGAATACTGCAAGAAGCGCAATTGAATTTGCCAAATTATCCGTCAGAATTTAATTAGAATTATTTCATGTTACCGTCTTAAATTCGATGTTTTCTGCCATTTGATTATTGTATCAAAGACATTCCAAACGTTTATTTGTTTTCAACAACAACAAAAAAAAAAAAAACTTTAAAAAATATTTTTTAAATAAAAAATATTTAAACGCTTTATTTAGATTAAAAAAACCAATAAAAATTAAAATTGTTTAAAATATTTAAAACATAAATTTAAAAAAAAATGTAAGGATATCGTCGACGATATCGTATATATTTTGTAGTAATAAGTACTTAGTAACAGTAAATAATACTTAATAATATTACTTTTTAGTAAAAGTAAATAATTTACCGCATGGAAGTTAAATTATGATCTTACATCTCGTACGCTTTCCAAAGCGAGTGATGACATATTAAGAATAGCCTAATGTAACGTAAAGGTCCAAAAGTTTTGGAAACACATCTTTCAAGGATGTTTTTAATGTCAAAATGAAGTTAAAACAAAAATTTTAATTTAATGAGTAATCTCATGTACCAAAAAAGAATGCAGATGTTTTTCCTTCAAACAAGACTTCGTGGACTTTTTTTTTGAATGAAACGATGAGCGATTAGCTCTTCTTTGAACAGCTGCTGTAGTGAGCGAATAAAATCAGAATTTGATTCGCAATGTCTTGCGAAATATATATAACCATTAACTATGTATCTTTCAGAAAAAGAGAGCATTTTGCTGATGTTCTACTTTTGAGTGTTGTGAAAAGTAATAGTTAACTATTTTCATTGTCTGCAAAAAATTAAAGTATAAATTATGTTTCGACAATTCCGTAATAAAAATTGTAATTCGATTTTTATTGTTAATTATTCAAGTGATATTAGATCAGTTTTATTGATATTTTACTAAATTATAGTTGAATTAAAATATTTTAGGAATAAAAAATTTACATGAAAGTAAAATATGAAATTATCTGATGACACCATTTTTTAAAGAGCTTATATCTTCTTGTTGTAGAACATAAGCTTTTATAGTAAATGCATTTTTTTTTTTTTTTTTTTTTTTTTTTTTTTTTTTTTAATTTTCAGAGCAGAATTTTTTAAAAAATATTTTCTGAGTATTAAGTTTGATGTTAAAAATTGCAGGTTTCTTTTTCTGGAATAGTTTGTAAACTTACAAATTTCATACACATTTCATACACAGTTCTGATTTTTTTTAAGTGTAACTTGATTGATTAGAACTTTAAATTATTTTCCCGTAAAATTTTGCCTGAATTAAATATGTTTTAAGACATTAAACTTATTTAACAGATGATCATAATTACGATAAAATGTAATTTCTGAAAGCGGATGTTATTATTTTCAATATTAGAAAAAATAGCATTCTATTAGAATAAAATGTACTACTAACACAGGGCATAAAAAATTGTAACAGAGTATTTTCAAAACTTTTGAATCGGTATCCCTAGACATAAAATCTTTAATTTAGTTCCATATAGCCTGATAAACAGAAAGCTCTCAAAAGGTTACCGTTAGACATGACATAAAATTTTCAGTTGTTCTAGCAGATTATAATTGCTTTACACAGTAATTAATAACATACCAGACTGATTTTGCTAAAAGTGAATTTCATTTATAATTTCCATCTGTTTTTATCAAATTTATTATTTTAATGAACATTTTTAACTTTACTGTAATTAATTAAACATGTTCCTGATACTCTATGAATTTCAGTACAAAATAGCTTAGTTAGTTTATTATTTTATTAAATGCTTTTAACGAGAGAAGTGGATTCTTTCCTATTGAAAAGTATTGCTTAAGCGCACGAACTAAGCGGGCATCAGAAACATCTAGCACATTTGATACTTATCTAAATCCTCTATAGCACAAATTTCGAACAGGTGGGAATGCAAAAATGGACTATGCTTCCAAAATAAGTAATGAAATCCCAAAATTTTAAAATTTAAAATGCCGGAATATACAAAATAAAAACAGCCCAACCGAAACAACATTACGAAACCCAAACTGAAATCTCTATGGAATTTTGAACAAGTTTATTCATCTAACGCTCAGAAGTGGAGGAAGAATACCATTCAAATTGTCATCTTCTTTTAAAATATATCTTATACAACTACTAAAATATATCCTATACAACAAGTTATAAATTTTCATAAATGAAATAAAAATAATTATCATATTCAAAAAGTTCAGAATAATCTCTAAGAATCAGTTCTAAAAATATATACATCTTATTTTAACAGACATTTGAAATATATTTTTGATATTAAAATTTTAATAAATGTCTTTCATTCAGTTTATCATAAAATATTAGAATCATCTCTTTATATCTTATTATTACACATTTAAGGTGAATGAACTTTGACTAAGAAATTCAAGAAAGCTTCAGAAAATTATCAAACATTTCAGCCAATAAATACAGATATAAAATAAAGCTTGGTTAATAATATTAAAAACTATGATCGGTACATTATTTCTTATATTGTCATCATGAAATAATTATATATGCATCATAACGCAAATATATGGCGCCTAAATCAACGCGAAAATATTTTTATTCCTATTTTTAATTTATAGAAAATAATAACTTCATAATCCTTCCAAACAATATTTATTTGGTCCTATAAATGGACTTGCAATTCAAAATCCGTGAAACAATATTTTTTAATTTCAAGAACAGATAATAATCCATTCAGAGGGTAAGACTGAGAATACCGATTTATTTAACACGTAACAGCAGCATGTATAATTTCTATATAAACGGAAAACTGCATTTTTTGCTAGATATCCTTGCATTTTATAGATCACTACTGTAAATTTATCTAATCTTTATAGAATTTAATTTCTGCAATTAGTTTGCTTGCGGTATGAAATTATAAATTAGACAGAATAATTTATTAATGAATATTATGATAAAATACTGGATAATTTCACATCTTTTGTTTGCTTTTCTAGATATTCTGCACCTAAATATTTGAAAATTTGATTTAAATATTTTACACGAACCCAAAAGTATATTTAAATAAATTTTTTCCAACACATTATCATGGAGGAAATACTTTTGTCCAGCCTCAGTGTTTGGCATTAGGAGTTCGGCTTAATTAACTCATCATATAACAATACTTAAATAGTAAATTAATAAATAAAACTTTAAAAAATTGTTTTTATGTAACAAATACAAAAATTTGCAAAGTATAGATTAATTTCAGTAAAAATCATCATCGATTACAAAGCACAGTAAAAATAATCGACCCTTAAATAATATTTTTTAATGTTTTTATCTAAAGAAATTGCTAATATTATGTTGCACCTGATATCCCGTTATAACCATTAAAGAATTTCTGGTCTAGTTATTGTTATAGACCTGAAGAGCAGAACTGTTTCCTAATTTCCTGACATGCAAAATAAAATTATTAATAATTCATAACAGTAACATGTAACTATACTTACTAATAATTTTCCAAATTCTTGCTTTAAATATTGGCCAGTTCCTTGCTTTCTAGTTCTTGAAAAGTAACACAAAAAGAAATTCATAAAATACACATATCACAAAAATCCTTTCTTTTTTTCCCTTGCAGCACTGAGATTCAAACAGGTGGGGATTCGAAAGTGGAATATGTTACCAAAGTAAATTGCGGAATCACAAAATTAAAATGTCCGAAATGCGAAATAGTGAACAGAGTGGGGTACAACTGACCGGTGTCCGACGCCGCGTAAAAAAGTTCAAGTTCAAGCGGTCAAACGCTGAGCTGGAACGGTATGACTGAAAACGTGTTTCGCTCGTGAACTCGTAGAACCAAGTGTTGCTCTTAACCTTGCCGGGAAAGCCTCGCTTCCGTCAAACGTACACAGACGAACGCACTCATACGGGTTTCGTTATTCAATTCCCCAATAGCGAATGCGAAACCACCTGTCCCCAGGTGGCGCTATCACCAACTTCGGTTATTCGTTTTCTTAAGCTTATCTTCGAAGTTAAGGGCGCGCTTTTCGTCGGAGTTGCCGATTTTAGAAGAGAAGTATCTAAGAGACTGACAGGCGAGGCACTTGTTTCTATCATTGCAAAAGTGGCGGTTATAGTTAGCATAAAGTTAATCATCAGTTACTTACCTGCTGATAACAGATAGAGGAATCACTGCCATTATGAGTACTACTCAGGATTCTGAATTTTTTTAAGCCACTTCTGACTGATTAGAATTCTGAATTATTTCTCTTAATGCTTTCCTAGGAAGTAAATGTATTTCCTGTTTTAAGATATTAAATTTATTAAAAAATAAATATTATTAATGCTACAATTTAATTCATTTTACTTTCCAAAAGTGTTATTCTTTTCAAATGTTCATTGCTTTCACTGCTCGAACAAAATCAAGTTGTATCAAAATAGAAAGTATTACCAACACATGTACCGTAATATCTACAAACAAGAGCTTTCAAACTTAATCGATTATGTATAATATTTGCTAACTCATGAAATCTTCGAGCTGTCGAAATATGTACTTTCTAAGTTGACAGTTAAAGGTACTTAATAAAAATTCTTCTCAGTACTAAAAAAAAATCTGTTTAAATTTTTTTATCTCCTGTTACATATTGCCAAAGTTCAATGTGATATTCACTTTTAGTTTTCATCTGGGAACTGAGAAGAAAAAAAAAAAAAAAAAAAAGGTTTCCTCCTACCCTACAATTTTATTCTTTGACTGCGAAGAACAAATTTAATTTCCAAAATACTGTTTTAATTTTAGGCTTTCTTTTCTTACTTGCCAAAATAACAACAATATTTCACTACAACAAAAAAAAAAAAAAAAAAAGCTTATTTTCTAGAAAAAATTATTAATATAATTTCAGAATTTAAAATAAATCATTGAAATATTAACTGCAACAATAAATAGCAGAAGTATAACAATTATTATTAGTCCAAAGCAGCGTTAGCCCAGAAGGGCTATTAGTCTCGAAACTGCATTTTGCTTCGGTTCATTGTAAACGGCGTACCACTTTTTAAATTGTTACCACCAAATATTATCGCCCTGTATTGTATTTAAAGAAATTAAATCATGAAGAATGTGCATGAATGTATGTTTTGCTCATTGTTAAAAAACAGCGGTAGAGCCTTTAACTTTTGAATAACGTAGTCCTCCACCCGAATATGGTCACCTGGAGTCTCGAATTTGAAATTTGTTTTATTATCTATTTCATATTTTGAAAACCTTAACGAATTTTTATTAACATACTCAACGATTTCAAAGCGAGCAGTAGCAACACTGTACGAAGAAATATTTTAATCTCCAGCTCGCGAAACTTTTTATCGGAAATCCTAAAGATAAACCGTTTTTAAATATTTTTAGTCCAAAAGGGCATTAGCCCAAATGCTCTCGAAACGTGTATGTAAATGAAAAAATCGTCCCTTCGTGCGTAATATAAAATCTGAAAGCTTTCAAAAATTTTTTAATATTATTATTAAAAGAAGATCTTGGCTAGCATTTAAATTCAAATTCTATGCTGAGATGAAGATAAGTCGGCATTAAGAAATTACATCAAAATAGCGTCGAAAAGCTTCGTTCTTTTTCAAATTTAAGTCTTAAAAAAAAAAAAAAAAAAAAAAAAAAAAAAAAAAAAAAAAAACTAATGGTATTTTAGAAGTTTATCTTGTTATCATGCATCATTAATTTAGAATTTATTGATAAAATGTTTCTGAGGAATTTTAAACGAATGCATTGAATAGCATAAATTTACACACTCACATAGACTTACACACATTTTTTACATAAATTAACACACTTTATGCAACGAAATATCTTAATTCTGTTTGGGAGTGTTGAGAGTGATTGCGTAGCAGGATAAATAGTAGCGCACCAAAGAAGAATACTGAATATAAGCGATATAACAAAAAGTTTTAATTTTTGACTGAACAGAATAGATGAAGAAAGCATGCCAAAACAACAAGATGAGATTAACAGGTGAAAACTCGACATGATAATTCCTGTGTCATATCCCTCGAGTTTATACAGTTATTAAGTACTTAACTACTAGTTAATGCGTTGCTTCACAGTAGATACGACCTGGACAGGAATGTCAAACTGTAAAGTGCTCCTACTGCCGTTACTGTCTTCGACAGCAAAATCTACGTAAGCATCCCGTGCTTTATACCGCTTCTCGATAAAGAGAACCACAACTACAGCCAAGACGAAATCCAGGACGAAACCACACGTCTGAGGATACTTAACTCTGGCTAGGCATTTTACATCAATTGCACTTCTTATCCTCTTAAGCGCTGCTCAATCGCAAAGGGGAATGCGAATTATCCGCAATTAATTAGCCGATGATTAATTTTAAGTGAATAACTACAGTACATTTTAAGAATAAAATTTATTTCGTAAAATTAAAGAATAATAAATCTTCATTCAATTAAAACTGACGAAAATTCACTTTTTATTGACTCTGGAAGAAAAGTGAAAGAAGGATGCATGAAAGCTTTATTACTAATTGCTTCGATTTAATAACCACTGCTATTTTTACTACATTGTTTTAAGAATTAAAGAGTTATTACACAATTAAAGAATTTCTAATACAATTAAAGAAAAATGAAGATTAACTCAGTTTGTCAGTTTCTAAACAGCAATAACAGATTATAGTTTAGCGCTTCATTGCGATCATGTTTGTCCACGGCTATTTTGATACCCTTAACCGAATGATAATTAAACGATGAGAAACAATGGCTTTCATAATAGCTATAGAACTTAACTAATTTAATGCAAAATAACTAGGAATGTATAAATGGACATTTCCCTAGCATTTTGAATTGAAAAATGCAAAAGTTTGTTTACGAGCTGCTCATAATGTCTTTACTGTAAAAGTTCATTTATGAACGGTGCATAACGTTTCTGAAGATTATTGGACCGATGCTGTACTCCAAATCAATCTTAATACTCAGAAGGTTTTTCTCATTGGAAAAGGAACTGTTAATGTAAAATTTAAAATTAGGGGGAAAAGGAACCTTAGTTCGGCTTAGATATTTTCAGGGAATTCTCCTTTCCAGGAAATGTAGAGGGACATACGTCTGATCCTCTCAAAATCGAAAGAGTTATTGAAAATCTACTCCAAACTAAAGGTTTCCTTTTAAACCCTTTTTTACGTTATTAGTTTCGAAACACGATTTTGTGTCGAATCACTATAAATGCGTCGTTTTACTTTTCATTCGAGTCAGTTATTTGAAAGCAACAGATGCAATTCTTAAGAATATTCGTTTCTTAGTTTTGAATTGGATTGATTTAAATCGTAAAAATAAATTTAATTCATGATATGTCTAATTAAAAATATTCAATACTTTCATAGAATAATGTTATATAATTTTTTTTTATTTATTTCCCATTTTGTAAAATTTCAATGAATGTTTGATTAACATACTCAAAGCTTTGAAAGCGAGCAGAACAATGTACGGAATAAAACAATTTTATCTCTAACTCGCCAGATTTTCTAAATATGCTGTTTTATACTGCTTTCAAAATTTTTGTGATTTTATTGTTGAATTGTATCTGAAAAAAGCGGGAAGAAAACAATGCTTAATAATAAAGCTAAATAGACGAAAGAAAAAAAAGATTAGCAACAGTGAACAAATGCAACAGTAAACTGGTAGACTGCGAGCCCCACGAGAGCGTAAAAAACACTTAACAAACCCTCTTCGGCGACCATTAAAATCTGAAGCTTTTCAGATTCCCCCCCCCAAAAAAAAATTAAATAGCTGACTAAAATTGAAATCAAAATATTTAATGATTTTGTGCCTTACTTGGAAACATTTTCTGTAACTTTGCAATTCTTATAATGCCTTTTAAACTATTTTTTTTAATTATCTTATAATATTTTGATCCCATTAACAGAATTATTGATCACAATAAGAGATATATTTTTCCATGTTTTCATATGCAAAAGGACAGAACTTCAGCAATTCGATAACAATATTCGAGTGACAACATCAACCCCGATCCCATTAAGCGGCATCTTCTGTATTACCTTATATAATTAACTTTTTTTATAAGAATGAGAACGGTTTATAATCATCCTCTTAATAGTGCAGTGTTAGTAATGCTGCGTTCAATACAGCCTTTAATATACAGAATGTATTATAATATGATTACAACAGAAACGTTTGTTAAAATGAAAATCTGTATTTTCTTCATTGACGCTGATTCAGTTTCATTTTTTCAAATACTTATCAATAAAGACCTAGTTTCATCTTTTAGAAACCTCATTTATTTCAAGTCCACGGTTACTATTACTCTTGCTAAATAGATCACAATAAAGTCCCACCCATTTTTGTAGAACTTCTTTCCATATTTCTCGACTTAAAGATTTCTGCGCAGCTGACGTCAGTAATAGCTGCTTTTCCAATTGATCCAAGCTGTTAGGAGGCGTCGTTCAACAGTCGTCATAGCAACTGCTATGCTTTGACTCTAAGCGATGGAAGAATTTCATCTCAAATCAAATGTGGATTGAACACTTAAGAGCACTTTTAGAACGAATAATACTTTTATCTTCCTATATTAGCTTGCTCCAAACCAAATAATGCGGTATCAGAAGTGTTTTAAAAATTAATGAAAAAAGAATCGAATGGAGCTTACTGCCAGTTTGGTACACTTAGCGGAAAATACTTTTAACAGTTCATGCAATAATAACAAACAATTTTCTGTATTGCAAATTACCCCAGCCGGAACAAAGATGAGCTTTCTCACGTTTCATTACTATTTTCCTTCCGCTTTGCTTTATCCATTGCCTTACATATAAAATCGTTACTTCTCCCACTGTTGAAATATTTTCCATCCTGAATTAGAGGAACGTATGTCTGAT